TGGCGGCAAAGATTTTCCAGATTGCGAAGAGGTGACTTACACCCAAGATGATGGTGTGAGCGATTGCGATTGGAGACTCACCGACATCCCTGAAGACATGACTCCAGTGCGTAGCCTAGCTCATAAAGCGCAGCCACCTTTGATTGATAATGATACTAGGGAACATACACTGTCCATACACATGGTCACAGCTGCTCCATTGAGGTTTTCGACCAACCCTGGGGCTTCTTTGCGGGTCAGATGGATTGCAGTGCTGCTGGAGGGGCCAGCCAAATTCTCTGCGTTCCCCAGGATGGTGATTACGCCAATAAATGCCCCCCAGCAGGAGGTTGCCAGAAACAATTTGTATGCGAACCTCGGGACGGCGAAAACTTTTAATCTGGTTCCTAGTAGTCACAGAGCACCGTTTTATGTTCCGAGGAAATTTGATCAGGAAGTTGACCAAGGGGGAGAGACCAATGAGCCGGGAGTTCAAGATGAAATAGCATTTGCGTTGGTAGTAAATGAGAATGTACTCAAATCTAGCTACAATACATCAAAGACCAGGATGCCCTAGAATGCTACAGAGACTTTACCCAGGTCGCACATACTTTCTCAAGATTTCCGAGGGTCAGATCAGCATGCAAGTAACTAGTTTAAGTCGCAAACGTCTCCAAGTACGAACACCTACTAAGTATCGTACTTCCGTACAATCAGCACCATTCTGTCACTCATGACTTCATTGAGTTGAAGAGTCGTCGAGGTCCAAGATGATAGCTCTCTATCTGAGCCCCAAAAGACGAGGCCCCATGACGGACCAAAATAGCGATTACTACTACGCCGGCCACTACTCGCCATTTGGCCGGGTTTGACCTAGACTACTTGAGCTGTGCACTATTTTGAAATAGCGCTATAATCACCCCATGCCCCGTTCCATCCCGCAGGTGCTACTGTTACCGTCATCTTCCAATACCAACTGAACTCTCCAATTCTCAAGCATCTAGCCCATTCTCATTTACATCTACTTCATCGAAGCCTTTCCAGGTCATCAGGTCCAGGATATTTATTGCGTGCGAGTAGTGGGGCACAACGTCATCAATTGCCTCACCTTAGCGATTACTTCCTCAAGATAATCCATGCTCTGTTCTAAGTGCCATGCGTAAAGCTGCTCAGCGGCCAAGCTTACTAGCAATGCCTCTAATTGACTCCTCTCTGTATATACGCGTTTCTTAACCTCTCTTGTTCTTTCTTCTGTTGTGAATTCTACTAATTGTAATAACCCCAATTAGTCCTTACTAAGACCTAGCACACGTTTCGTTCAAGTTTACGCACTCGTTCGAATGCAATACGCTCACAAATGATAGACGGAAGGTTCCACTCTTTAGCTAGCTTGCCGGCTTTATGGAAAAGACTCGTTGACGTCGTCACACAGTGTATGTGAGCTTATGAGCGTTATTTCACTTGGCCAATAAGACAACTCCGATATGAACGACACTTGTTCATGTTCGAAGGGGGTCTCACCTCTTTCTGCGATGAGTTCAGCTCTTACAGCCGTGATTTTGGTGAGTGCAACTATGGTCTTATTGAACATCCCGTTGTCATGTCCTGTCGCTCGTGCCTGGCTAATCTGGTTTGATGTATGAAGGACATGTGTGATAGGGAGAGAGACTTGCTTCGGTGACACAAAACTAGCAGAGAATGGGCAAATAGACTTCAGGAGACTCTGGCATCATTCTAACAGCCACTCATCGTGCTTCAAAGGATGTTTGGGCACGCCATCCCGCTGAGCCTGCACCGGCAAGTGAATAACGCTCCTTCGCAGGGCAGCCCTGGAGCCTCACCACGCAGTGGACATTGAGGGACCAATCCCACTTTTACGGACAGAGCCAGCCGGAACAGCATGGCTACGTGTACCCGCGGGAATCGAATGTCGGCCGACGAAGCCACCGGCGCGCGCCATCAGACGCTTAGCAGGTTACAAGGGCGTTCGAGGCGCCATCACCGGTCTGCTACCTGTTTAGGTAGGACAAGTGGGAAGCCTTGCTTCATGCTCTCGCTCTTCTCCGATATGCCTGACTTGACGCATTTCTTAGCCAGTCTACATTCTCCATATCACTCAACTCAACTCAACTCAGCTCATCGCAACTCAGTTTCTTCTCTCGTCTTATCTCCAGCACTGCCTTCGTCCGAGCCCGAACCCGAACCCGAACCTATCGGGTCCGAAGTAGAGGAGATCAAGAGGTTTCGCTTTGAGGGCCAGCCCGACAACAAAACTACCCTGTAACTTCCATCTTCGTATAATTTATATTGGTATTCCTGGTCAAAATATTTGGGAGCCCGAGCACAGAATCCATAGAGTCTGCCACGATTTCCTGTTGGACCTTGGAAAGTCCACCGCGGACGCACTCGTGCTCTCTGTTTGCGCGGGTCTGAAAGATTAATCGAGATCTTACGTCTTGTCGAGGACAAGAAGGAGCGAACCCCGAGTAGTGTTCTCTGAGACTACCAATACCTAAAAGGGAGGCAGCAGCGGAGTTGCAGATCACCAGTCCCATTTTCTAGAAGAACTGATCTCAGACTGTTCTGGAGCGTTTGGCTGTGTTGTCGTGGGCTCGCACTTTATCATCATTTCTCTCACAGGCCAGAGAGGTACTTATCATTGAATCAATGGTAAGACAAGTGCCTGACATCAATCCTATCGATCCAGATCGGATATGCCGTGACTCATGAAGAGAGACATGGTAGATGGTGGATTGCTATTGGTCTCTAGTCCAGCTGGCAGTTTTTGCCTCTCAGAGCCTAGCCCAGTTCTAATCAACAAATAACCCTAGGCCAATGATCCCCTCAGCTCAAGGTCCAGGCCAGGGGCCAAGCCAGACTTGATTCGGAACATCTGGAGCGGGAATTGAGTTGTATGCATGCATGTATGTAGGTAATCGAGCAGCTTGCCTGCCGTACTCTACTCTGTAAGCCTGGGTGGGATATTCCTACCCTACCCTCCCCATAACGAGGCTCAGCCAGCCTTGCTGCGGTCAACCCTCAATTCTACTTAGCATACCGCAAACAACCCATCATCCATTATTCGTTTCAAGTCTTTGCCCGCCATGCAGGCCGACGACTGGGGGACCGTAAAGTGGCAAAGCAAGGCTGTGTCCGAATCAGCCTTGGGCGACTGGAGCGAGCTCACCATCGGCAACGAACACGTCTTCCCGCTTCGGCCTGGAGAATGAAATCAGCATACCCGTCCCCGGAAAGCATCTTTCCGTGGATAAGATGATCAAGTGGCCGAGGAGTCGAGCTGGGGTCGGGATGCCGGGTCCAGCTGGTGACCCGCGCGACGGAAAGGACCTCTAGCACTCTTCATGCGACTTCCTACGACTGTGACACATTCTTCCAAGAGTCCAGCAGGTCCGCCCCTACAAAATCCTCTTGGTTCCATACTTGACAAATGTATGATTTCAGTCCACCAAAGAACTCTTCGACACCGGCTACCTCCAGTGAGTAATAGGGTGGTCTGTACATCAACAGTACTCCAGCTTCATACGGATCTATGATATGTTATCTGAAAAGTGGAAGGCCGCTTCATCTATGACAAGCACAGACTTTGATTCTGGCTATCTGTTGTAATATGGTAAGAGTGTCTTAATTATCCAATCAGACACCACTTTGAACCTCAAATGAGCAGGAGCGATCAGCCTGAACCGACTCTTGTTTGGATCAGAACTCGAACCAAAGACCTTGGGGAAGTTATATCTACCAGGAGATGGATTGTTCTCAACAAGCGCAAATAATCTCCTGGGCATGTCATGCCCATTGATCGATCATGCTTGGGTCAGCCAGCAGCCGAACTTGGTCTTCCCCTATACCAATCCTTCCTCTCGTGATGGCTAATATCTACGCCTATCGCGATCCCTAATTCGGGCATGCCGGGGCAACGGATGATGTTTCACTAGGAAACAGAATCATGTATGCAACTTTGGCCGTGAAGATGCGCTTTAGATCAAGCTCTGTGGGGTGTGTTGCCAGCGGGAACTGTGCCGCAACGACGGCCATAGCTTCCAGAAGGCTTCAGAATCACCCAAGGGGAACTGAAGACACGCTAAGTTATGGGGGGCTTTCTGGACTAGAATCCTACCGGCTCAGCATCGGAAAACGGGGGCCGTGAATGCCATTCCGGCCGGCCAGTGTTCTCATGTTCTTTTCGCTTGTTTTGCTCGAGGACTTCCTTGGTAAAAGCTGCTGCATTTGCTGTATAGGAAGAGACCTATCTATGGCCGAGGCTGGGAAATCTGACCTGAAACACTCATCGATTCAATTCATGAAATAATTTTCTCCTGGATTTATTCTCCTACTTCTCATCGTTCTCGTTTTGGATTTGACAATTGTGATGTGCAGTGAAAGAGCATCAGAGATACGTTTTCCAAAGTATGCAAGCCCCTAGAATAGCCACACCTTTTTGATTTCCTATCTCAAGATCCCTCTTCTGTGTTTTCGCTTAGGATGAGCTATACACATCTCCAGTACGGCTGATCTCGGAGTCGACGTCTTTGCCTCTCCCTTTCTTCTCCAGCTGCCTTATCAAGGGGATGACTTCACGACCGAGCTGCTCGATCTCATCCTCGTAATGAAGGAAAGCGGCCAGAACAAGGTCAATCCCAAGACTCTTCAATAACAGTAACCGTTCAGCTACCTGCTCCTTGGTTTCCAATAAGTTTCGTCTTGAATCCATCGTTGTATTGAATCAAGTTCTTGAACTTGCTGTTAGCCCACATGCCAGTGTCATTGGATGTACTAGCGCCTGCTTGCTTCACTGCTTCACGAAACGGCTCAACGGCATCGTGATGGGCTTTCCCTTGGATCTCCTCAAGTACACGAATTGCCTCCTCTTCCGTCTCTCGCACAATTACAAACCCATTGACGGCGAATTTGACTTCGTGGTTATTTTTCTAGCTCGAGACTTAACGTCCTCGATTTGGGTGCGAAACCCCTCGATATCGTTGCCGTTGATGAGGTACCACCCGCTAAACTTCAGCGGCGTTTGTTCTGGCATCGTCGCTGTTCCCACCCTGGAAGATTCCAGGATGAGGGGTCTGGACTGGCTTCGGGCTCAAGTTGGAATTGGTGTATCGATAGAAATCACCGGAGAAAGTCAAACCTGTCTCATCCGGTGAAGTCCAGATGCCCTTGAAGACACGAATGAACTCATTTCTTCGACGGTACCTCTCCGCGTGCTCCAACCACCACTCTCCGACAGAGGTGAACTCGCCTTTGAACCAACCGCTGACGATGTTGACGGCAATTCTGCCGTTGCTGTAGCTGTCAATGCTGGCAATCTGTTTAGCCGCAACCGTTGGGTTCCAGATACCAGGCAGGATAGCAGCAATGATCTTTATCGACTTTGTTGCTCCTAGGATCGCTTGAGAGAATGAAACAGACTGATGCTGTCTAGCCGCGCCGTATGAGGCCAGAAACCGGATTTGAGTTAAGCCGTACTCGATTCCAGCTTGTTCGGCTGCCTTTGCGTATCGTATATTGCTTCCGAGTTCCCAATTCGTCTTTTGCGGGATCTTGCTGGTTACAAGACCGCCTGAAACGTTAGGTACCCAGTATCTACTCAGAATTCAGTGGAGAGAATATGCGCAGGGTGGAATTAGTAGCATACGCAAAGCGAAGCCGATCAAGGGCCGTGTTGAAATGGTGGAGTTCGACTGCCATCTTGCCAATTTCTGTTAAGCTTGTCACTTGCCAGACAACGCCGCTTTATCACCAGAACGTCTTCTGATCCACGCACAAGGTTGTGTACTCTCAGTTTACGATGAGGTCCTCAAATAAATGCTTCGGCCTGCTAAGTTTATCGAAATATACAAAATTGAGATGGCGCAAGGGCGATAATGCGATGTACACGGGAAGCATCTTTGGAAGCTCCCGCATCCCGGATCGAATTGCCGATGATCAGGTGATGTGATTGAGAGCATTGATCACACCTTAGCAACCAAGACATGTTCCCGAGAAGATGCTGTGTAGGGGTGTCATTGGCTCGATCAAGGTACCATTGTACATATTCGACCACGAAGCTGAAGATCGGGACTTCGGGCAGTGTAGCCACTTTTGGGAAGTCATACGTTCCGGAGTTTGGCCTGCAGAAGAGACAGACACGTACAATACACACTCGGAGACTCCAAAATAAGGCGCACAGTCTACATGACAGAATCGCAAAGAAATCCGTTATCGCGGAGCGGATTTTGAGCGGAAAGAGAGTTACCCGTTACGAGGGGAACTTATTGTAACCATGAGGACTTATATAATCATTAGGTCAGGCGATAAGTGATGCTTAGAATAAAGGTCCGAGACTGGGTATTGGATCACTCGTCAATAAGCTTCTTACTAGATCTATCCTAAAAACTAGGTCAAGATAAGTAGACGATGAAAACATCTCCCTTTGTATTCCCTTGACCTCATGCGCCAAAGTCCGAGAGTTCACAGCATGTCCTGAATAAACCAGTCTACAATTTCCATATTCGCCATGCTCCTTGTGGGTCTGTCCGGCTCCACAACCACTGCAGTGTCGTTTGTGAGTGAGGGTCTGGCAAGCAACATCAGTGGGCTGCTGCGGATGATTGCGGCTCGGCAAGGAGGTCGACTCTAGGCCGGAGACGCCACTCACCAGTGTAGCTAGATACAACTAGATTCAATACACGTGTACAAGATACAGATGTCCATTCTGAAAGTGGGCTCCGCTAGACTTTCAGGCCAAGATCTTCTGGGCCCGACTGACTTGGCCAAACCACCCAGGCTTTCCAAGGCTGGTCCAGTGAAGCCTCGACCACGGTCTGGACACTGGAGCTCCATCCCCTTGAAAACCAGGACTCATCTTCGAACTCCCTCACCAAACTCGCAAAATACGCTAGAGTGACTAGCGCGAGCGGGTTACCTTTGCTGATCAAGTTAGGAAAGGACCGTGGCAGCTGGAATGGCCAGGCCCAGACGCGGCGGGCTCCAGAGGTGGACTGGACGACAGAAGCATGCGTGTGACGTAGCAAGTCGACAGCGTGCAGGCAGGATGAACGCACCTCGTCAGCGTCAGGACCTAGCAGCGGTGCACCGGCGATCGTTGCGGAGAGTCGGTTGAGACGCACAACAAACTCCAACTGCGGGTCAAGAGGCTGGACAATCGTGGCTTCTGGTGGGAGCAGTGCCGCCGCTAATGGGCCGTGAGCTACCCACGAGCCAGCATGCTGTACCGATCGTATATTTTTTATCCCTTTTTCCGAGTCCATCGTCAGCTTAATGTCTAGGTACAAGAGTGCGGTGGAAGGTTGGATGGGATGGAGAAATCATAATCGAGAAGACTGAGTACCTTGCACCAGAACAAAGGACTGTGCGACCTCGTTCGGGGCGATTTCCTTCCCCCCGGAGCGTGCAATGGCAAACATACTCATCAAGAATATGAATCCGGCGAGGAGATAATACGCGTCTGAATTGCTCTCATCGATATCGGTAACTCGGGAGGAGAAAGCATCAAGCGCGAGGTTCTGGTAATGAGTCGATATCGTGCTATATGATTTGCTGAGTTCCGGTTTCAGATAGGCAAAGTGTAGAGCCGAGACAGCCAGGAGGCCATTCATGAAAAACTCCTGTCTGTACGTTAGCGAACGAACAGTGAAACACCAGTGGATATACGGAACATCAGCCTAACATGACCAAAAGCAATCTGAGGTACAGTGAGCTGCCAGACATGCTGCGATTCTGGGGTGTTGGCCAGTGTTGCATAAGTCGAGGTACAATAGTGGTGCAACAGTTGGAGGCTCTGCATCCAGTCGGCGGCTGAGATTTGCCGCTCATCAGACATCTTGTCGTGTCCAGCTTGATCGTCCCGAGCCAGCACGTGCCCAGACATGCTCAACTCATCTTCGAGCGTCTGCACCTTGCTTTGAATCTCTGCAATGAGATTCCTGAGGGAACAGACTGTAGCACTCGTTCTCCCAGCGTCAAACCGCGCGGAAGCCACAGAGGATTGTTCACTCGGGGCTTTAACAGAGTCGACAGTGTCAGCGTCCGAAAGGCTGTTGAGGCAGGATGATCCGATGCCTAGGCCCGGCACAGCGTCCTGATCCTGGTCGCGGACAGTTTTATTGGAACAAGGTCGGGAGTTCAGAAGGCTGCAGTGAGCATCATGGCGGACGCAGTTCTGGCACGGTCGTTGTTCATCGCACTATGTTGCATGCAAGACGGTCAGGATCGCTGTTGATTCATCGGCTCTACTAATTCTTTCCCGAGGCTGAAAGGGTGCGATTGCCGCGGCGCTGTCATGGGAAGGGCAGCGCTGCTAGCGTGTCTCTCTCACCTTGACACGTCGCTGCTTGCATCTGAGGCAGCCGAAGCGGGACTTTTTGTGACCGAGCCGAGAGGCCCGCATCTCTGACTGGATTACAGCAGCGGTAGGGGTAGGGGGGAGATCCTTCGGGCAGATGTTACAGAGACAGCAGCAGCAGCAGCAGCAGCAGGAGCAGGAGGAGGAGGATGAGGGCGGGGGTGACGTTAATAAGTGCCGGTGCTTCTTTGCTTAATACTTAAATGGGCATTCGGATTCCGGTCCTTGGCACGTGGCTCAGCCTCTTATGCCAAGGACCAGCCCAGTCGAACAACGCGTCCTTATCTGGCGGTAACTGACGTTAACATGGCATCATGCATGAGCACACACGGGCAGATAGATCATGTTAGCAGCCAACCTCGATCCCCTTCCCGCAATAAAGCTTATTGTCCGCCGCATCAGGCATAAAGACGGGCGAGGCGAGTCGAGAAAAGGAAAAATTAAAAAAAGGACATGAATGAGAGATACACACACGTGTCACACACATCATAACATGCCGCATGTACGTAGGTAGCATCCGGCGCCAATAGCAGATCGTGTCTGTATCACTTTTCCTTTGTTAATGGAGCTTATCCGCGTAACCAAGTCGCATCGTGCCGTCCCCCCTCCTTTAGCAACACTCGTCTACGGACAATATGTCAAGCTTATATCTTGGTTGGAAATGCCCAAATACCTATACCCACGGGCAACCTGGCCCATCTATGGTGACAGGTCGTCAATTGTCCTGCCTCTGTCACTCTATCTCCTGTGTTGGGATTTTGGAAGACGAATATAGCCTGGTTGCACGAGGGAATTGTGGGAAATGGCGTTCAGATCTTGAAGTAAAGTCTCTAAAACTAACAGACGAGTGGGTGACCTGAGGAAAGAAACTGATCGCCCCCCTTCTCTCTCTCTCTCTCTCTCTCTCTGTATAATTGATCGAGATTGATGATTTGATGTCAGTGGCAATTGAGGCATATAGCAAAAGCGAAGAACTTCTCCACTCAATTTAGAGACAGCACAGTCTATATTGCTTGCCACAGTCTAAAATTTGGGTGGGGGGATTGGGGAAAGTCTAATCTATTGCGAATCGAGAAAAAGCAAAAATCAAGGCAGTATTAACTTATATAACCATCACAGAGGCCGCTTCTACAGCTCCTCTCTCAGTTCCTTTCACTCGTCGTGCTCTAGCGCCACTCTGGTACAGCCCTATCATCCGCTCTAGTCCTCTACAGCTAGCCCCTTACGTCCTTCCTCTACCGTCAAAAGCCTCACATCGTCTCCCATCCTGTTCCAATTGCCACACAATGGAAGACATTTGCGTACGCAGACTTGTCGCCCACTCTGCAATTGCGCATGCAACGATATCGGCTTTGCAGCTTATTGGACGTAACCCATGGTATGGACTTCTCTATCCCCGTCGACCCGGCTCATATGATATTCGTCGCTCTGGCTCTCAGAGTCCGAGAATGGGTTGACAAGTTTCCTATGACTCGAGATGATTCTGCTTGGATGCAAAGCATTGAAAAGTGCGGCAACACTGAACATCAATAAAGCATCGAATATGTAAAGGTAGACCTCCTTGGACTGGAGCTCGCCGTCCTTGCCCATGATATACTCGATGACTCGAAAGATAGATCGGATCATGATCAAGACGCTCGCAGCATACAGGGCCTTGAGAAATCCGCGCCAGGGCACCGTCAGACTGTATGTGCGTGCCGTAGGCTTTTGGACAATACGGTAGTGGAAGATACATGTGACTATTATGAAGAGGCCAAAGAATGCGACTTGGATAAAGAGGCCGACCAAAATGATCGTCTGGCCTGTGTTTCGATCACCCTTAGTCTTTGCGTCCGCAAGCCGACCACCACCTATGACTCTGGTCAGCATGATCCGGCTAGGTGTCCGCTCGGTTCGGTCATGTGTGTGCCTTACCAATTGCCTGAGCGAAGAATGATATGACATCTCCAAGCACGAAAAATCTCGTGAGCCACTTCCGCTTAATCAGTGAGTATGACTCTGCCTTGAGAAGCTCGATCAGACGGCTTAGGATCATGTAGATGGATGCCGCCAGGAGTGTTGGGCCTAGGAGTAGCAAGAGGGCTTGGAGTATGTAGGGCGGTAGCGACCAATTCGGTGACTCCTTTGACGAGATTGCCCGTCCCACGTACCCTATTACCTCAACTGTTTCCGAAAACCCCTAATCAGCAAATCTTGACGAAAGGATCGCATTGAATCGAGTCGTGATAGGAGTTGGGCTTACAGATACAGCCAATGAGGAATGGAATGAAATACCAGGTCCTCCATCTGAGCAGCTGGTAAGCATGGCAAATAGTTGAAAGCGAGAAGAGGACAGTGAAAATGATTGCCGCTGGGAAGGACGGGTCGTATTGGTAGCGAGACGACATGGTTTTCTCTTAACGGAAACCTCCCGTAACAACAGCTGAGGTGCAACCTTCGGAGGCTCGGAAAATCAACGTTGGCAGAAATTGAGGTAAGTGGCAAGATGATGTCAGGAGTGAGCTGAAGTTACTCGAAATCTTTGCGGCGCGGTGATTCCCCAAGGTATAAATAAATAACAATGTGGATGTGATTATCATGGAGCCTCGCCATAATTCATGTCAAGAAGTGGTTCGAAGTAAGCCATGTGGCTCAGCAAACTCTCGTCGAGACTGGCCGCGCCAAATTTACATGGTATCTCATGACGCGGGCTTGTTGGAATCCAATACGGTTCCGATACCGAGCCGTCATATTATATCAAAAGAGTAAGAGTAAGACATTGCCAGTAGGGCTGATGAACAAAGTCGCGTTCATCCTGCCCGGGCTCGGATTCATTTGGATGTCGTGCCAATCATCCGGCTGCAAATACGAGAATTATGGACCTTTCTCATTGTCTCGTGTGTTGGCTCGACCCGTTTTTTGACCAGGTCTGGGTGGCCATGCACTTGGCACTGATTCGAGGCGCCCGTGCCACCAGCCAGCACCGGCCCGTTAGTGGCTCAGTGGATGGGGCTTAGATCAGGGATAGCACCGGAAGGAGACTGCACGCACTTGTCAGTCAACAGGGCCTCCGATCCGGAGCATCGGAATCCGACGTCCGCCAATCACTCTCATACACATTCCCACGCCTACTAATCCAGCAGTTCCATCTTGGAAAGTCTAGGGAGTAGCACGCCTGAGGTCGAGTTGCCGGCATACCTAATCTTCGCGCCTTGGAAATGTCATGTTGCTGTTTCCATCCTCTTGTATGAAACGCATTCGCTACCGCCGTTCCGGGCCATTATTACTAATAGTGCAGTGCAACCCCAGCGATGGGTTCTAGCTCTAATCGCCATGGTTGCCACCCCTTTTGTACTGTTTCTACCCTGCCAAGACTAGTCAGAATTGCCCTTCAAAGAGGTTTCGATTTGTCTAACAAGATGTCAAGGGTCATGTATGATAGGTTTCGATACAGCATCAGAATTATCAAATGGTTGAAGTAGCGCAATTGCAAATGTATAGACCCAGACGGTCTCAAGGCGCCTTTCATGTCATGGGCCAGCACAATCTCGATATACAAAGAAAGTTAAATCTAGGAAATTAATATTTTAATGCAGATAGGGATATTTATTTGATGTTAACAGAACCATAAGCATCCGAAGAGCTCAGTGATTTACACAGTAAGACCTAATACCTGTTGTCTTTTTGTTCCCAGTAATCAGTATGGCACAGTTGAGTGTCTTCTCAAAATCGGTCCTCAATTTGATAGCAGTAGGGATATAAACTGGTTTTGTAAACTAGCCAGATCTAACTTCTTCTATGATCTAATATTCGTCTGAAGGGGTAGGTGAGATGGGTTGAGGATGGTATGTCCTTAGGTAAAATAAGTCTAACGAGTTAATGTTCACTGGGATTTGTATCGTGGTTGACTACAAGACTGTCTTACACAGTCTCCCCTCGTTGTCGACTGATCACTGCCCACATTCCTGTTGCTGTAGAAGATTCCGCTAGGAACCTACGTTCGTGTGATTCTGAGAAGCTCGTCATAGTGAGAACCATAGAACGCGTGCTTCCAATTCGGTTTCTCAAAATCAGCTTCGTTCCCATAGTTTCCGCTATTAGGAGCCGCCTCATCCCACATCGGATCCCACAACTCGGTAGCAGCTTTGTCCATGCCTCATCAGTTGCTGAGAAATCCCAATCTGTGAGCGTCAGCGTAAGCACTACCGCTTGACGCCAGGCTGGGTTTGCTCCGTTGGAAAATACTAGTCCTACTAGAACCGTTTAGCGCGGTTCCACCAATGATCGCTCGATCATTGACTTGGTACTTGATCACATCTATGATGTCTGCGAGCTTTTCTGAGTCCTCTAAAATGCTTCAGGGAATGAGTCAACCGCCAGAGCGCCAATGGGTCCCGATGGCTGTAGAATCTCTGGCCATCCACAAGTCGTAATACCGAGGTTCTTCCTTAAAACGGATCATGTGATATTGTAGTCGCTTATAACATCCAGAAATGGATTTAAAGTTGCTTTAATCATTCTAAGGTTTGGTTGAACGCCGTTGTTGTTAGAGAAAAAAAGGTGGAATCAAATGCAAAACCTGCATGGAGCTTCGCGTCCACCCGTGAAGGCAGCGCCGAGTAGTATGACTTCGAGACGTCACAGAAGGTCTCCGTAGTGAGTTTGGGAAGCATGGTCTTACCCCTGCTAGCAGTTAGGTGACTTATTTGCTATTACTTCGTTTTTACTCGCTTCACTTAGCTATCACTACATACAGAGTACAAGAATGGCTACCCCTACACTCCAATACGTTCTTTTTGCCCTGGAGGCTTCTTTTTGTGTGTGTGCTACGTGATATCTTGAGAGGGTGATGGTCAGCAGTCGGCACTGCCGCCCTGTCTCAGTAGGGACATCTGTGATGTTCAGAAACAATGATGCCCCGGCTGTTTCCGCGTCTTGGTAGGCGCGGAGGTGACCATACCGAAGGTCCCGGGACCGCTAACGCTAAGTGTCCAGTATAAATTCGTATGGCACTTCCGATTAGCGGTGACGACGTCTCCGTGCAGTGGCAACTTCAGATAAAGGGTTTGATCTGCTGCTAACCTATAGGTAGAGTCGACGGGCGAATGGCCGCCACCATAGATGTATCCGCCAGCGAATCCTACTATCGAACAGCCGCCGCCAATAACGATGAGGCCGTAGGCAGCTGCAAACTTGGCTACTTCGCTACCCTAGATTCTGACCCCAAGCTTAAGCGCTGGGCCTGTGTAGTCTGGATCAGACCAGTGTAATACTTCGGCACATCTCATATGATGCGTCCATGCTGCGACGGCTCCTCGACCGGTTGATCGTCCAAGCTGACTAGCAATAGTGAAAGATTAGCGACAGTCAAGAGGTTCGATACTCGTAAAACGTGACTTGGTCATGGCCGGTATTTCTTACAAGAAAGCGGACGTTCTTCTCATCAGCAACCCGGGTCGTAACAGTCACATCGGCGACAGACGATATATTTACTGTATAGCTGATGTAGTAGCCCACGTTACAGGGCTCGGTTACACTCTTGAAAGGATCGCAACTTGGGTTCGCCTAAAATTGGTTCAGCGTGGACGAAGAAGAGGCGATGCTTTGTGGTTCGTTAACATTGTTATATCTTGGGTCTCCATTAGGTGGCTTCTTGGATGCTCACTGCGTAGTGCCATCCTCCCCAACAGCTTGGAGAGCTTGACATTAACCTCGTTGTAGTCGGAACCATGACAGACACGCACCAAGAGGGGTTGTCTCAATCAACCGCCCTCCAACAGTGCGATTTAGGTCATTCCAATCCGACTTCGACGACCAGTCTTCATCGCCAGGTAATGTGCGACATAACCTTGCTTCAACACCTGCACAGCATGATAGTATCGAGACGGCGGCGATAGTCAGCCTGAGACATCGATTTGTCATCTTCGTGTTTGGTGAAGGGGGTTGCACTGGCTGCTAAATGAGTGACGTGAGAGTCAACGATGCGAAGCTGTTAGAGACATCTCTGGCCTGTATTTGTACTCTGTCTAAAGAGTGCGCCCCGAAGAAGCCGGACAGCAGGGTGAGAAAATGTGCCGATACTAAGATTGAGTTATCTCGGCAGTATATTCATGTGTCAAAAGTTAACTATTTCTCCTGAATGTTACCAGCGTTTTGATCTAAGTACGAGAGCAGTGCATCACGTTGCTTTCTGCTTCATTTGCCCAGTCTTCTACTGACGAATCGGAAAATAGTCCTCCGCTACTACCGAGGTCCGTAGTAACGATACAAAATGATATTCTCCTCGGATCGTACGTGTCCTCATTTGGGCAGGACCTTTTTCTTGGAATTCCTTTTGCAGCACCACCCTTGGGTACCTCCGTTTTAGGAAGCCTCAGCCCCATAAAGGATGGAATGGGACAAAGTCTGCCCAAAAGTACTCACCGCACTGCCTCGGCGGTTCTCTAGGACTACTGGGGCTCAACTCAACCATATCATATCCGCAAAGCGAGGACTGCTTGACAATCAATGTTGGTCGCCCTTCCGGCTGCCAGAAAGGTAGTCTTCTACTTGCCTTGGTTTGGATTTACGGCGAAGGTTCCAAAGACGGCGGGAATGGAGGCCTTCGGTACGACATGTCTTATATGGGACGCACATCTGTGGAAATGGAAATACCAACCATCATGGTCAGCTTCAACTATGTTCTCGGGGGTTGGGGATTTCTATCCGGTACATCAATCAGAAACTTGGATTTGCCAACGCAGGCTTGTACGACCGAAGAATGGCACTACAACGGATTCAAGACAATATAACAAATTTTGGCGGAGTTTCAAAGACAGTTACCATTCAAGGTGAAACAGCAGGAGGCTCATCTGTGGGCTATCATCTTCTGGCGTATGGCAGTCAAGATG